CAGATCTAATGGATGAGAAACACTGATTTTTTAAAAAATTGGGTGACATTTTCGTAAATAATTGAACATCGAAGTGCAAGTAAAATGTATTACAAGTGCATGTAGAATGTATTATAAGTGTAAGTAAAAATTTATATTGAGCATCAATACTAAGTGCACCTATAGTTATAAGTAGTAGCACCTAGGTGCATGAATGTTTGCGGGTGGTTTTCAAGGGTATTACTACCCATTGAACTCAGATCAATGAATGTTAACAAGGCAAAATTACATGCACTTGCAGGTGAAAGTAGGTGCATTTGTAGGTGAAAGTAGGTGCACCCGATCAATAAATGTTAACATGTGGCGCGCGCTGATTGATTCGCATTTCTCTCCTGTGCACTTATTTGCACCTGAACGCGACCCTACATATATATATATATATATATATATATATATATATATATATATATATATATATATATATATATATATATATATATATATAGCCCAAGAGAGTTAGGCTTATAATGGGTAGAAAAAATGGCGGTCAAATTTTTTAATAAAATGAATGGCTCAGATTGATCAGATTTATATTTTTCCTTAAGATTTCCTAATTTATCCTTAATAAATATGATTATCCGTTAATTTTTCCGTTAAATATTATCTTTTCCGTTAATTTCTGTTAATTCACCGTTAACTTACTCATTGATTTCAATAAGAAAGGTCTTAGGTTCGAACTCTATCCTAATCAAAGTTGGCATAATTAGTACTCTATTTTATTCTTATTAAATTAAATAATAATTTAGTAGATACAACAAAAAATAATACATATGCATTTCTTTAATTTAGAATTATGTGTCTACAATGTCTTTATTCAAAAAAAAAAAATTTCATTATCAATAAATTAAATAAGAGAAATAATTTCATTAGTTATATTACCTTTATTTTTCTCCAATATAAAAAATTTTTACATTCAAATTCATCAATTGATTATATTCGCTACATTGTCCCTACAATATTTTTATTAAAAAAAAATTTATTCATTATCAATAAATTAATTAAGAGAAATAATTTTATTAGTTATATTGTCTTTATTTTTCTCCAATGTAAAAATTCTTTACATTCAAATTCATCAATTGATTATATTCACTACATTGTCTATTATCTTTTTTTGTGCACTATTTTTTTAATTAAATATCAAAATTATAATACAAAATAATGCTATACATTTATTTACCAAGTATTTTATTAATACCATGAAAAAATTAAAAAATATAATTAATAAAGTCAATCATATTAACTACTTGAGGAATTTGTTGACAAAGAGAGTATTCAAATCACACAACAAATTGAAGTGATAACTATTTCGCGATGTCATTGTTTGACAATCAGCAGTTAGCGGATTTGACCAACGAATTATTATATCAACGGATGGTAAAGAGATATTTGAAAAAATTAGCTATTTAGATTAACATGTAAAATGTCCTAAGGTATACATTTATTTAATAATAATAATAATAATAATAATAATAATAATAATAATAATAATAATTGTTTTAAAAATAAAAAAATAAAAAAATATAATAAGCCAATCATATTAACTACTTGGGGATTTATTGACAAAAAAAGTGTATTCAAATCACACAACAAATTGAAGTTGGAAACTATTTCGCAATGTCCTTGTTTGACAATCAGCAGTTAACTCTTCAATATTCGTATATATTTAATATTTTACGCCCCAATTTTTATTTGCTCTCCCTTATGTCCCGTATTTGGTTTCAACCATACCTATATAATTATTTATTGACAATTATAATCAATATTCACTATATTATCTTGCATTTGTAAACTTAGAATTACCTATTTAAATACGCAAATTCAACATTCAATTATCTATGCATGAACAATTCCAATATAATCTTCCCTTGATATACTGTAAAGTACTTATTTACAAAAAAAAAAAAAAAAAAAAAAAAAAAAAAAAAAAAAAAAAAACATTGGGCATTATCCCAATCGCGCAATGTGCGTAAAAAACTAGTATATATATAAGACATGATCATAACCGGACCTAACAACGAACACACGTCGAAAGAGATATAGAAGACATAAAAGGAATAATAATTTTAGATTCAAACATAGAAATAATTTCCACAGTAGACGATTGATAAAATAGTAGGAGTTACCAAAGTCCTTAATATTGATAATTTTGTCTTTCCTACATTCAAATACACTATATAAGAGTATTATTATCATCCATTATATTGGAAGGATGCCTTTATAATTTTTAGAAAACCACATCACAATTCCTATATTTATGGCAGTTTCTTGGGTGTGTGAATCCTTGATTATTTTCTGGCAAATTATATCGTGCACCGCGCTGCACTGCGCATCAAAACGACATCGTTTCGACATCGTTTTGTTTAATTAAAAGAAACGGCATCCGTTTTTCGCACTCTTTCGCAAAAAGTAACTCTATTATTCAGTTTCATTTTGTATACACTGCAGTTTCAGTTCAACACAAGTACAGTTTCATTTTGATATAACTACAGTTTTATTCGATATTTATAGACTCAAATATGTGAACATGTTATTTAATTTTATTTTATATACACTATAGTTTTATTAAAACACATCTACATGATCATTTTTATATAATTACAGCTTCATTGTACAATATACATTCAAATATGTGAAATGTTATTCAGTTTCATTTTATATACACTGCAGTTTCATTTCAGCACAACTACAACATTATTTTGATATAACTGCAGTTTCATTTGATAATATCAAAATAATACGTGAGGCAGTGTCGATTTAGATATAATGTAGTGTCAATTGATAACTATCATACAAAAAAATGCACACTCCATTAAAACTAACAGCGCGCCGTTTCTTTATTTTAAGAAACGGCGCCATTTTGACTGCGGTCCACGATATAACGATCGTTCTTTTCTATTTTTGGCTTTTGGCTTGGGTGTTTGTATATAGTACGGGCCATTTGTGTTTCATAGGTTTGGCACCTTTGATTTTTCAGTTATAATTTAGCAATTTTCAAAGAGTATATAGAATTTACCTCTAATTATTTTATCTTGGGTATACCTAGAGTTTTCACCGTCGGACACAGTGACTAATCTTCTCGCTGAATTGTAAGTACCTCTTATAGGTGGGACAACTAGCCTGCCTGGAGATCAGGGCCGGTCCTGGGGCAAGGGCAGGCTGGGCCCTTGCCCAGGGCCCATGTTTGGGGGAGGGCCCATCCTATCTCTTATACATAGTATATATGTATTGAGTATAAGTAATTTATATACATATGTTTTATAGTAAGGTGAATTAGCTTGACTGGTAAGTTATTTAAAGGGAAAAGGGTCAAATAGGTCCTTGAACTTTAGATTAAAAGTCAATTAGGTCCCTAAACTTTTTAAAGGTGCAATTACACCCATGAACAATTCATTTAGGTGCAATAAAGTCCAAAAATAAGTTAATGACCTGCTATCACAGGTCATTAGGGTTCAGACCACCTTCCGGCGAATTTTTCGACAAAAAAAATGTGACCAGCAACCGACCCAGATTTGCCGAAAATTTCGCCGGTCACTTCTTTTGTTGAAAATTTCGCCAGTCACCTTTTTTTTTTTTGCCTGAAAATTCGCCAGAAGGTGGTCTGAACCCTAATGACCTGTGATAGCAGGTCATTAATTTGTTTTTGGGCTTCATTGCACTTAAATGAATTGTTGATGGGTGTAATTGCACATTTAAAAAGTTTATGAGCCTAATTGACTTTTAAGCTAAAGTTCGAGGGTCTATTTGACCCTTTTTCCTTATTTAAATTTTAACCTCATTTAATCAAAGACTGGTGATCCAATCTTTCCATTCACATTTTGGAATTCCTCAACTTTATTTTTTTTGCTTATATTTTAATATATCTTTTTAAAAAATTATTTTTATTGATTTTTTGTGTTTAATACGGAATAGTATTTTTAATGTAGTTTTTAAATATATAAATTTTAATAAATTTATACTAAACATATTATGAAATTTGTTTATATTAAATATATAAATTTTTATATTAAATTTTTAAATTTTTATATATTTATACTAAACATATTATGAAAATTTGAATTAAAAAAAAATCAATCAACTCATGTTAATCAAACAAGACACATAAAAACAGGACGGAGGGGGTTATATGATATATTTTGAGATTGAATTATGAAAAAAAATTAAAAGATAATTTACTCCGTACCTTTTTATGAATAATATCTAATCAATGTAATATAGAAGTTTCTATCATGTGTCATTGTATTCAAATTATTCTAAAAAAGTTTGAAATTTATCTAGTTAAAAGAAAAAGTATTTATAAAAATCATATAAATATAGAAGATGTGTGATTTATAATATGTTTTATATTCAAACTATTTTATCTACATAATTATGTTTCATATCTTTTTGAATTTTTTATTACGTTTTGAAATAATTTAATTTTTTGCTCCTAGTCAAAAGAAAAAATTAGCTTCACATATGTTTGTAATTATTGTTTTATAAATTTTTAATAATAATTAATTTATTATTTATTATAACGACAATGCTATTGTTTATAAGTTGACTCGATTTTAAATTATTTATTCATTTTTATAAAATATAATAATTATTTATTTATGAAGGCACTTATACGATTATTTATTATTTTGCATTAAGGAAAGCATCTAGAATTTTTTTCATGATTATTATTGTCGCTATAAAATTGTTAAAAACTTGTTAATCTTATTTAAAGTTATTGATATTAATAATTTTTTCCTAAATAAATTTTAGGCATGAAATATATATTAACAAGGCCCCATTTTCTTGTCTTGCCCCGGACCTATGAAATGATAGGACTGGCCCTGCTGGAGATTTAAGGCTACCCTATTCTCAAAGCCAAGGATCGAACCCTTAATCTTTGGTTAAGAATAGATGAGTCCATTTTACTCAACCACACCCTCTAGGTTATTTACCACTGACTATTAGAAGTGAGTTAGTGACATGATTTTAATATACTTCAATGTAATTGGGTCAGATCCAGAGGGAAGGTTAGGAGAAGCTCCACGTCCCGAGCTTCGTGAACATGGGAGGATCTCAGGTGCTTGCTTTGATGCAGCTCGTGGAATCATTCCTGGGCTTAAGGTCCGTTCATACTTCTACTACCTCACTACTACCAATCGTTATATCCTACACCACGGCGCACATAGCACTGTGCGCCGCGCGCCTCCCAAAACGACGTCGTTTTTGGGTCGTGTTGGGAGGCGCGGTAGGAAGTTGCTGAGATTATGTGTATTCGTTCACAACGTTATGTGTATTCGTTCATACAGTTATGTGTATTTTTTATACAATTATGTACATTGTTTTTATACAATTATGTACATCCGAATCAGAAAATTTGTGTGTATTATGTTAAGAGTTGATGTGTATTATGTTAAAAGTTTATGTTTATTATGTATTATGTTAGATTATGTGTATTATCTTTTAAAAAGAGTATGTATATTTTGTTATAACATTATGTGTATTCATGTATAACATTATGTGTATTCAAGTATAACATTATGTACATTCTTGAACAGCGGGTTTTTTTTTAAAGAAAAGCCTACTGCCATTCACTGGGGCGGGAAATTTCAAAAAAAATTAATAATTAAAACGACGTCGTTTTGCATCTGGGCGCATAGTGCAATGTACGCCGTGGTGTAGGATATAAATTGCCCACTACTACTAGTAGGATCACATTTTAACCAATGATTCATTATATTTATAATTGTAAATATATGATTGGGTCAAGATTACTTAATTGTGCTATAATGCACATGGGTCAAACCACACTAAAAGATTGAATCCAACCGATTTAGTAGTCTGACCCATGGCCTTATTATAAACCTATATATTCTCTTATTTTTTCTATGCGGGACTCTTAACAATAATATATGTAAAGTGGATGTGTAGAACTTACTGTCTATGAATCCTAACTTGTCGGATGTTGTGATGCAGGTTAAAGGAACGGACTATAAGACACCAGATGGGACATGCATTCAGGATTATATTGACGTTACTGATCTTGTAGACGCGCATGTTAAAGCACTAGAGAAGGCAACTCCTGGGAATGTTGGAATTTACAATGTGGGCACTGGGAGAGGTAGTTTTTCCCGTTCTATAATGTGTTGTGATTGCTCAGAGATCGTGAAGTCTCGTTCTCATCTTTTTTCTTTATTTGTATCTCGAGAACACAGGTAGATCCGTGAAGGAGTTTGTGGATGCCTGTAAGAAAGCAACGGGGGTATCAATTAAGGTCGACTACCTTTCCCGCCGACCAGGTGATTACGCAAAGTATACAGAAGTATACAGGTGAAAAATGCAACATATAACTCCCCATTCTAATGATGTATTTCCGAACATGTACCAATTCTGGCCGTCTGGTCGTCCTCTCCAATGGAGAAGACGACCAGACGACTATTTTCTCCATTGGAGGAGATGGCCAGATCTGGCCTTCTTCTCCTTGAAGACGACCGGACCTGGTGGAGAAGGCGGCCGTCCGGTCGTTTTCTCCTGTGGAAGACGACCGGACGGCCGGATTTTGTCGTCGGTGGCTGGATTTCGTCATCGGTGGCCGGAATTCGTCGCCGGAATTGAAATGACCTATAATAACAGGTCATTTACCGATTTTTAGGCTTCATTGACCCAATTTGACATGTTTGAGGGTTTAATTGACCTTTTCTAAAGTTTAGGTACCTAATTGACCTTTGGGGTAAAGTTTAGGGGCTTATTTGACCCTTTTCTCTATTCCTACAATCTTGTTCAACCACTTGAGCACTTTGTCATCCTCCTTCTCACCTTTAAGCTTCATATTTAGTGTTCTTATCTCTTCATCTTGTCTATTTATGCGTTTTAGCAATCACGGAATGATTTGCTTCGATCGATAGCACATTGGAGGATCATACCATTCCACAAATCCACACCCGACCTACCGTTGTATTAACAATTTCAAACACACAAAAAAAAACAAAAAAAACAAAAATATTCAAAAATAAACAAAAATTTAAAAAAACAATAAAACAAAATTGAATCTAAAAAATTAAACTATTTGCAAATAAAAAAAAAAATTTAAAAAAACTCCGACCTGGATTCTCATTTGCCCATAAAGTTCGGATCTTTAATTGATGACCACATCTACAATGGAGAATTGGAAACTTTTCTCCAAACTCATTGTACTCATTACTCGTAGAAGAAGAGTAGAAATTACTCATACCCAGGTTTAGCCGACTAGATGGAGAATGGCGCTGCAAACCTTCCTCTTCCCCTATGCGTTCGTTCTTCTCTACCTTTCTTTATGCTCTTTTTCACGCAAAATTAAGGGTTTCAGACTGAACAAACACTCTCACGATGAACCGGGTTAAAAAGATATTTTGCTTAATTAGGACCAGATTTCAAAAGACGATTTTGCCCCTCAGATTATAGTTATAGACTAAATGAAGGATTAAGTTTTTCTGACGAAATTTGATCGGAGTGACCAAAATTGATAAAAGTTACATAGTCAAGGTATTAAATTAACACTTTTGAAAGTCATGGACTGCAATTAAGAATTGTTGTGTTAGACAAGCAAGACAAGAGTCTAAAAAATAACTTAGAGATTAAAAAAAATAATACAAAAAAGCTTCAATAAGAATTCTTCCACTCAAACCATCATCCAATCACCATCCATATCTCATCCATGCATTATCCATATCAATAACCATTCAAATAGAGATAATCCATTATAGACATCCACCAATATAATAGCCACCAATCACAGTAATAATCCAAGAATTACCAATATAAGAGAATATCGAAGATAATAACCAAGATAATACCAAGTCACCAATCCACCAATTTATTTAATAATCCACCAACATAAGCAATTATCCATCCACAAGATAATTAAATCAAAATAGAATTACCAACCTTTGCTTGCTTGCTCCCCTCAATTCATCATATCTTCTCCCCTTTTTTGACAAAAAAAAAATGACAAAGGGATGTGATCATATAGTATCTGGAGCAGAACTATAGATATATGGGTCTCAAAATGATCAAAATAAGTCATCAAAAAATATCAGCATCAAACGTACCCCAACATCATAACTACATCACCCATAGTTCAACATCATTTGTCTTTTGTGTGTTTTGCTCCCCCTCACAAGATACTACTTCCCCAAATAAAAGACACCACGAAACCAATCTCAGTTGTATAAATAACAAAACATTCACTTAGAACTCCCTTTCGTTACTGTTTCATCTTCATTTGATTGGAAAACCTTGAGTACTCAGAATGCCAAAAACACAAGTTGGAGAATGAAAGATATATCTTCGGTTTCGAAACTCGCAATGAGAGAAAATACTACAATATCATGATCATAATAAGATCGAGGTTTCATCTCTTAGAACAAGTTTCCTTTTGCATGAAGCTGTAACATGGACATCAACTCTATAACAATTCTCTTTGCTTTTCTAAAATATTTTGCCACAAGAACCTGCACAAGTGGAATACTAACGAGAGACACAGAACTAGGCACACGCAACTTGTAAACAACTCAGCAAATAATACAGAAGCACTTATAAAAATAAATACAGGAATTGTCAAGTTGAGAAAAAAAAAAGTAGAAAGTTTAGCAAATACACTAGATACTAATAGTAAGCAAATTCAGATAAAGCAAATTCATACGCATATTCATAAAATTTAACACAAAGGGATATATATTGTTAGGAACATATGTATTAGGATTTTGATGATACCAATGTAACTTAGAAGTAGACCCCTAACTTTTTGTCCTTTGTTTCGTTATCTTCGTCCTAGACGAAAGGTACCATAAGTCACCATGTAATTCGTGTTAAGTTAGTCAAACACACAAAACCGAGTTATGATCTTTTAAGTTAGGTTTTGTCGAACGAAAGAAGAGTTTATGAAGCTGATCTCTAACGAACCACGAAAGAGCAGATGATCTTCTACAACCGAAAGCAGAAGCCGAAAGAAGTCTTCTGATCAAGAGACATTGTAACTAAAGCTCTGACTGCCAAGACAATTCATCTTCTCTCAACTCAAGAAGAATGTTGTCAAATGTCTCATCTGATGATCATCCTAGGAATGAATTTTCCTAAGAATGAGAGCACACTTATCAAGGTGCATTAAATGCCATAGTACCACTTTTCAGAGCTAGAAGACAAAACACTCAGGATTTCTTGTCTCCAACTTCTATATGGTACAGCTACATTTAATGAAGCAATAAATGCACAAGGCTCTCCCGTTATTGACCACTGAATCATAGGTTTGAAATGTCATCTCTCTCCAACGGATGGCTTATTTCCCTCCTATAAATACCCATCTTCTCCATGATAGAAGGTGCTGGTTTTTAGAACAATTGAATACTTATACTCAAAAGCTCCTTATACAAGTTCACTCTCTCAAGCTTTTGAAAACCAGTGATTCAAGGCGTGAAGTTTGCAAGAAGACATATTCGATCTCATTCACTTAGCCTTGAAGAAGTCTTGCAATTTTGTACACATTGATTATCCATCAATTCACCAGCCAGTCAAGACTTCATCAAGTTGGAGAACCTCGAAGATTATTTTCATCCAACCCTCAACTCTGAAGAAGACGTTGATAGAGGCGGAGTAAACTCTAGGAGTTGAAAAACCTTCAAGTAGCTGTCCGACTTAGTGATCAAAGTAGCTATCTTGGTGTAATTTGTACTAGGAGTGATAGTGCAAACCTTTCACAAGTTGTGAAAGAAGAGTGGAGTAGGCACAGTTGGCCGAACCACTATAAAAATCTCTTGTCTCTCTCTCTTTACTTTTTAGCCCTTTACTTTCGTGCATTGCATATCATACGCCCTTAACCGAGAGCTTTCTCAAAAGAGCAAATAGTGCAAAGCAAATTAAAATCTGTATAACTTATCTGCTGCGTAATAACCCTGAAAAGAGTTATTTTCGAGAAAAACGAATTGAGTCTATTCACTCCCCCTCTAGACTCTCCTTTCGACCCTACCGGGACCAACATATATATATATATATATATATATATATATATATATATATATATATATGTATATATATATATATATATATATATATATATACACACACACACTTTTGTTCAAATGCGGCTACGCTCTCCCGTTCGGCTATGTGGCCGCTTGACAAAATACACCAATAGTGTTAACAAAAGGTACGTGTTAGGAAAAAGCATAACAATGAAATGCATAAATATACCAAAAAAATACACAACACACTCAAAAAAAAATGCACCATATAACTCCCCACCTTAATGATGTATTTCCGAACATGGATGGTGTATATTCGTATAATTGAGCAGTTTTCAACTCTCCAGTGATACATATACTATCAAGTTAAGATCTGTTTTTTTTGCTTGTAGTGACAAGTTTCCTAATGGACCACTTGTTGTTTAGCTTTGAGGGAAATTATTATGTGTTTGAAATGTTGTCTTTATCTGAACTTTTAGTCTTAGGTACGGATTAGAAGACAAACATTTTTGTCATTGTATGTTATTCTTTGGCAACTAGAAAAGATATTGTTTACTTCTTTTTTTTTCTTTTTTTTTTCTTTTTTTTTTTTTTGCATTGCTTTATTTTGGTTTATTTAGTTGAAATTATTTTTCAAGGAAAGACTCAAATTTCTGAAAGTTTAAGGTTCTCTATTTCCATTGATACTTTTCTACATAATGGGATGTCTCTATTTTAACTAAGGTCAAGCGCAAAAGCTCTCCCTCCCCCATCCTCAATCATGTTTTTTTTATAGTTTTGAAACTATTCCATTGTATTTATGATTTTTCTTTTTTTTTTTTCGCAGTTTTCTCATCATGAACCAGGTGTTACTCATGTCTTAGTTACTGGAGGGGCTGGGTCTATTGGTTCACATGCTGCATTAAGACTTCTAAAGGACTCATATCGTGTGACTATAGTGGTAATTGATGATCTTTCCAACTGTTTGAATAGTTTCTTGTATAATTGCTTATAGAGACTGTAATACTGTATTTTGTAGAGTTTACTTGTGTAGAAGTTTATAGATAACAAGATTCTCTCACATAACAGGACAACCTCTCACAGGGAAACCTAGGTGCTATAAAAATCTTACAAGCACTATTTCCAGAGCCCGGAAGGCTTCAGTTTATATATGCCGACCTTGGAGATGCAAAAGCGGTATCCTGTTTGCTCATATTCAATTAATCTTTGTTATACAAATGAAATCTATAAATAACTTGTTACACTAACTATTGGAATTTAGGTGCATGAGATATTTTCTCAGAATGCATTTGATGCTGTGATGCATTTTGCAGCCGTAGCATATGTTGGTGAGAGTACCCTTGATCCACTAAAGTAAGTACTCCGTAATTTCTTTTTTTTCAAATTTTATTACAACAACCATTACAGTTTCAGCATTTTGTTGACTTTTAGTAAAAAAAAAAAAAAAGAAGGAATAAGGGTCAAATAGGCTATCGAACTGCACACGATAATGCAATTAGGCCACTGAACCTAAAAAAATACTACAATTGAATTCTTAAACTAACCAATTTCAGGCAATTAGTCCAATTTGCAGGTTTTTAGCAGTCACCCCAAATTTAAAATATTTTTTAAAAATTATTTTTTAAATTTTTAACATGATTTTAATTTTTAATTTTTATCTTTAACTCTGGGTTTCTGGTGTTCATTGTGTTTCATACCAAATTTGAAACTTTTGCACAATCTTATCCAATTTTACTATCTAGCCTAGAAAAAAGGAAAACAATTCAACCTGACCCAGAAAACTTTTCTATTAGTTCGCAACAAATCTAGTACCTTGTAATTGGCTATACATGAAACATTGAGATTGGAACGATCTTTTCTAAGTCGAATAGTAAAGTTGCATAGAAGTTTTAAATTTGGTATGAAATTGCCAAATTTAAAAGGTTAGGCACAGTGCATGGTTTGGATATTTTCCACCAAAGCTTAAAATTTATTTATTACTATACAAATTATATACTATTTTTTTTTCCTTGTCTTGGCTTTGATTTTTGTTGTTTCTTCTGATTGTAAAGTTTTGTAGTAGTATTTAAAGAATATAATTTTCCTAATTCCTATTTAAAGAGTATACTTTACCACTGACTATTAGAAGTGAGTAAGTGACATGATTTTAGTTTTTTTATTTTATTTTTATCTTTAACTCTGGGTTTCTGGTGTTCATTGTGTTTCTGATGTCTTGGGGTTACTGTTACTTTGCTACATTCTACATCTTATGTATAATCTTTTGTGTGAAATCAGGTATTACCATAACATCACATCAAATACCCTTGTTGTGTTAGAGGCTATGGCAGCACACCGAGTCCCTACTTTGATTTATTCGAGTACATGCAGTGGCGGAGGTACATGGTAGGTGCAGGGGGCCTTGGCCCTCCTTTCCCCTCATTTTTTTTTTATTAATAGTATATTGTCCTAAAAAAAAAAATTCTTATTAATAGTATATTGTTTTTTTTGGCCCCCCTCATCAAAGTATTTGTCCCTTCCAATCACATATTTCTTCTTCTTTTTTGTTTCCCTGACTTTTTTTCTTATTATTCCACACCATTAAAATTTGTTTAAAGGATTTTGAGGGCAAATTATGCCGTGGAATCGTGTTCATTTTGTAAAGTGGACACGGTTTCAAAACTGTTCATAATTATGTTCAAAAATTATGAACATATAGTGCTATAATCATGGACATAGAGTTGTGAACATAATTATTAACATATAGTTCTGTAATTATGAATATAGAGATTCAATAATTGTGTATATGAAGTTCAAAAATTATGAATGTATAGCTTTATAATTATGAACATATAGTTTAGTAATTATGAACATAGAGTTCTGTAATTGTAAATATAGAGTTCAAAAATTGTGAATATGAAGTTCAAAAATTATGAATATATAGCTTTATAATTATGAATATAGAACCGTGTCCACCTTGCAAGGTGGACACGGTTCCACAGCATAACGATTGAGTTTAAGAAATGTTTGCTCTTTGGTGAATGGTTTATTAGTAACAATGTTTAAAGACTACGCTTCGTAATATGATGGAAAATGAATTTCTTAATGATTGTTTGTTAGTATACATTGAAAAATAAATTGCAAAATAATTTAGTATAGATTTAATTATAGGTGATTTTTGTGACATGCAAGAAAGACGTTCTAAATTTTAGTAGATTTGTAATACAATAATGTATTTTGAAATATGTTAAATAAATATTAGTATATTTTATTATTATCTCTCAACTTGTGATTGACCCCCCGCAGGAGCAATTCCTGGCTCCGCCCCTGAGTACATGTGCTACATATGGAGAGCCTGAAACGATGCCCATTACAGAAGAAACACCACAGGTGAAATGTTAAAACTATATTTTACTGGCCTGTTATGAATGCTACTTTTTTTTTCCAGAGCCAGTATATGGCAACATTTCTGAATGACTAAGCCTTTATATGTCTCATTCCAGCTCCCAATCAACCCATATGGGAAAGCTAAGAAAATGGCTGAGGATATTATTCTTGATTTTCATAAAAATTCAAAGATGGCTGTTTTAACAACTACTACTCACATTAAACACAACCTCACGCACATTAAGCACAAAACTCACGCACCTTACGCACAAGACTCACGCATCTTATATACAAAACTCATGCACATTAATCACAGACCCGCTAATGAACATATTCTGTTTATGGTAGATTGGAATGAAGGAAAGATTACAATATAAATACAGATGTTAGCCCTAACTTATAGGCTAATTGACTAGAGACTAATTCACTAGGCTAATTAAGGTCTATCCTAATATAGCTAACATACCAAGAATACAAACATATAACGTAATATATCTTAAATTCTTAATACACCCCCTCAAGCTAAAGGTTGGAGGGCTACAACATTGAGCTTGTCACGAAGAGCTGCAAAACGCGGAGCCGGTAGCGGCTTGGTGAAGATATCGGCGAGCTGATCTTTCGTGGACACAAAATCGACTAAAAAATCCCTAGCAGCGACCTTGTCATGAACAAAGTAAAAATTAATCTCCACATGCTTCGTCCTGGCATGGAAAACAGGGTTAGCACAGAGATAGGTGGCACCGAGATTGTCACACCATAGAGTCAGCGGGGAGCCCGGATGCAAGTTTAGCTCATGAAGGAGAGAGACAACCCAGGTAACCTCAGCAGCTACATCGGCGAGCCCCATGTACTCAACCTCAGTGGAAGAACGAGCTATGGTGCATTGCTTGCGGGAGACCCAAGAAATTAAATTGTCGCCGAGAAAAACAGCATAGCCGCTAGTGGACTTGCGATCAATGGAACAACCCGCCCAATCGGAGTCGGAGTAGGCATGAATGGCAGAAGAAGATGAACGCGAGAAGCGCACTCCGTAATGTAAGGTGCCTTTAACGTAGCGTAACACACGCTTCAAAAGTCCCCAATGTTCAACTGTGGGTGCATGCATAAACAGACATAGCTTGTTAACTGCATAGGAAAGATCGGGGCGTGTAATAGTGAGATATTGCAAGGCACCCGCCAAACGCCGGTATTGAGTGGGATTGTCATACACCTCATCAGATGGAGTGACGGCCTTTGTCGTAGAAGCTGGAGTGGAAAGAGGCTTGCAGCAGCCATACCTGCAAGGTTAAGGAGATCACCCATATACCGCCGTTGAGAAAGCAATAGATTCACGGCGTTCCTCCATCTACGTAGGCCAGCAATCCTTGACCCCGGAGGAATGGGACGAGCTGCGTACGCCAAAAAAAGATAATTCCGTGTCGTCAATTTGATCGACACGAAATGTTGAGCGGAGGTGAGATGGTTGGGAGTGGTGGTTGCAGGCGGAGCAGCGGCGGCGGCACTCATGGTATGCTCAGATGAGTTCGTAGCCATAGTCGAACAGGGAGAGAAAAACACAAAGAATCCTAACGCTTATCTGATACCAAATGAACGTAATCTGTTTATGGTAGATTGGAATGAAGGAAAGATTACAATATAAATACAGATGTTAGCCCTAACTTATAGGCTAATTGATAGAGACTAATTATACTAATTGACTAGGCTAATTAAGGTCTATCCTAATATAGCTAACATACCAAGAATACAAACATATAACGTAATATATCTTAATACCGCTCACCTTAATTTTGATCTAGATGCAAAAATTACAAAATTGACACTACGTTTTTTTTTTAAATTTTGGTAATCCTGGAGGTTGATTATTTAAGCGAGATGAATGGCCCAAATTAAATCGCACAACCGCACCTGGGCACCCTAACCGCACAAGAACCTAATTCTCTCTCTCTCTCTCTCTCTCTATATATATATATATATATATATATATATATATATATATATATATATATGTGTGTGTGTGTGTGTGTGTGTGTGTGTGTGTGTGTGTGTGTGTGTGTGTGTACACACACACACACACACACACATATATATATATATATATATATAGAGAGAGAGAGAGAGAGAGTAATAATAAGCATCATGAAATGGTTTACATAAAATGTGGCTTTTCTTTTTGTTTGTACTTCTGTGTTTGGCATTTTCAAAGTCATTTAAGCTCTTTTTTCCCTTTATAATTTTTTGATATTTAATCTTACGGCAATACATAATTCATTTATTGATTGAGTGGGTAGAATATGATTTTAATTTGATTTTGTGTAACATCTTTTCGATTAAGCTTGTTGCATAGAGGATTCTTAGTGTGGCTTACCTAGTGTATGGATAGTGGTGATGGATTTTCTCATTACAAAAAAAGTTTGAATAATTATGAGATAATAATTTAATTGAGTTGTTCGGTGCAATTTCAAAATTTTTCTACTTTGTTGTTGGTGAAAGTGGAGTTTTTACAAATGAGGCCTATAGATTAAAAACATTTTAGGAGAATTTGGTTCATGGTAGGTAAGATAATCAAGACTCAATCCCTAGTCATTCTTCTCAAATTTCACTCATGTGACCAACTAAGCTGCACATGTAATAATCTACCTCCTTTCGTATGAATCTACATTTTGTTATAAATATTAACATAATGACCATTATTTCTTCAGTCCCTTCATCTTCCCTATTAATTATATATGTTAGTTATAGATTTTGAGTTCTCATTTTTCTCTCTACTTCTTTCTTCCATTCCATATTGCAATATTGTTTATACATACAATCGACGCGTTACTGTACAACAATCCAGGTAGATTGAGCTAAGCAGTAAACCAAATTACAACACGTTATCAGCACGAGTCTTTATCGTAATCTTCGGTGAACGGTATGCCTGGATTTGTTACAATACATGTTTTTATATTAGGCAAGCATATTCATAGGATTCGTATAATACATGGTTTATATTGCACATGTTCATATGATTCGTATATATGCTTGCAAATTCTTGAATATGGATTTTCGATTTTATTTTAATTTTTTGAATCGGAAGAAAGCATGTGATATATATGTTTGTGCAAATAGAAGTGATTTTTCGTATATACACTATGTTAATAATATATGCTGCACATAAGAACATTCATATCAAACTGCATATATGTTGTTGCTAAATTTACATCAATATTTTTGTTATATATATTGCTGCAATATGAGCATGGTATTCGAAAGGTTGCAATGCTTCAAAATGTTTTTGTGTTTGAAAATGGAAAATTATGTTTTCCTTGCATGGATCCGAAATGATATTTTGTTATCTGGCGAAAGATTGAATACTCGAAAGGTCATTTTTATTGTCTCTTGTGTGAATTCGAAAGGTTTCGAAAGGTTAATTTATTCTTTCAGACTTTGGCTCTGTTTGGCAAACCTAGCTGAAAAGCTATAAGCTAGGAGCTGAAAGCTGAAAAGCTATAAGCTCGGAGCTGAAAACTGAAGAGCTGTTAAGCTAGCTGTTATGATTGAAAGTGTTTGGTAAAATTAGCTTTTTGATAAGCTGATAAATGTAAAAAGACTAAAAAAGGACATCTTCATAAAATTTAAATTAGTTTGTTTACATATTAAAATTTAACATTTTGTCTTTAAAAAAAATTAACATTTTGAAATAAAACTATTAGCATAATCATGATCTAGCATCTCATAATGAAGTAACAATATTGTTGCAAATCTAATAATAATAATAATAATAATAATAATAATAACAATAATTGCGGTGAAAATTGCGGATAAAGGAGAAGAAAAAAGGGTTTTAATTGCGAAGGGAAAATTATGTCATTTCTTTAAAATAATAAGGATAAAAATGGAAAAAAAGTTAGGAAGTTAGGAGCTTATTTTGGGAACATTACCAAACAAAGCTTATAGCTTATTAGTAGCTTAAAATAAGCTATAAGCTCCTAAATAAGCTCTGCCAAACAGAGCCTTTACCTTTAGAATTCATCTCTGAAAGTTTGATTTGCATCTAGAAGATGTCAAATTCTTTATTTTTGCTACGAACATGTGATATTATGAATGTATATGAGAACATATGATATACGTTTTGTAGATTACGTCTTCCATTGCCAAATGTAAATTTATTGAGCTCACTTATGAATGAAGCAATTATTTAGCTTGGGCTCTAAATATTGAAATATATTCGGCATCTAAAGAATTGAGCCAAGTTTTTTGTTGCTAAGTCGCAGAGCACCGGTGCCTAGAAGGCACAAGCTCTCATTTTCATACGTCACCACTTGAACCACGACGTACATTAGAAAATGAGTATCTGATTGAAAAAGAACCCCTTGAATTAATAGAAGTCCCTGAAGGACTATTCCCGACCAGAAGTCATCAAATGTTCTTCCTCACACACATTTTGACTAGTTTAATCTCATGTTTAATTTTGAGATTATAATGTAAGTCAGTGATTAACTATAATTCAGCTATGCACAAAATAGTCTCACAAGTGAAACTCTAAACAAGAAGTTTCAGAGAAATATTTTATTGGAAAGACATTGTCAACTTTTCATGCGAGTAATTTGTAATCCAGCAATAGTACACGACAACAAATTATGAGAAGCATCCTAAGCTGATTTTAGCAAGCCTTGTTGCTAAGAAACATAACTAGTTGTTGATGAAGAATCAAAATGCATGTCTGGTTGGTTTTTGCACAGGTGCCTGAAACACATAATGTTACCCAGTTGTGCAACTTTATAAGGGGTTGCGGTCGAAATTATAACCGGTTTGGTATGAGTTTCGAGCTTAGAATAAGAAGCAAATTGATCAAGATATTCAAGGATGACCAAACTCATCGAGGCAAAATCCTAGCCAGAAGCAGGTTTGCTAACAATGAGGGTCTGAAGGGCATTGATCCCTACGTGCCGCACACCAAAGCATTTGGTCATCGAATAATGCGCCGCATCTTGATGATTCTAGGTAATTTTCCTGAAACAAATATTGTGATAAATGATGATAATGAAATGATGAAGTATTGATGAAGAAATGATTGGTGTCATGATAATATTTTGAACAATGCATGAAAATATATTCATGGCCGAAAAAGTTAGTTCATGCCTGAAGCATAGAGCATCCGAGTAGTTAGCTCATGCTTGAAGCATCCGAGAAGTTAGCTAATTCTTGAAGCATCCGAGAAGTTAGTTTGTGCCTGAAGCACCCAAAAAGTTAATTCATGGCCGCAATATATATTGCGTGGCCGAGAAGTATATATACTCCAAAAGTGTCTTTGAGCGCAAAGTTATTTTTGGATGCAAATTATTATGAATGCAAAGTGATTTTACTTTGCTTATTTTCCTTGTTAATTTTACTACTCGAACGGACTATTCAAAAACTTTACTTCTCTAAGCTTACCTATGTAATCTTACTTCTCGTTTTACTTCTTGAAATTTTACTTTCTGGAACTTTTTTTTCCAGAGAAAGTTTACTTCTCGGAGTTACTTCTCTTAGTTTGCATGCTTATTTATATATGAAAATTTTTCTCATGCATGCAACATGACTCTCCTGTGCAATTGACTTGTTGCTAATTCAAAATTGAATTATTATTTGTTCCATAAATCCTATATCAATCCCGAAAAGATTGTTATTATCAACAAATTATGATAATCCTTTTTTGACTAAATTTAAGATGTCAACATGACAAATCCCTCTCCGAATATGACTTAGTGCAATTCTGTGTTATTTAAGGAGTGATATACTCCTTTATAAGAATGATCTTTGACTTATGTCATACATGATATGATTGATTTATATGTTATTAATTTGAAAGATAGAAGAAAATGATATCATATCAGTTTGCCCGAAGCAAACGAGGGAATGAATTATTTCATATCAGTTTGCCCGAAAAAAATGAGGGAGTGAATTATTATATCATATGAATTTGCATGAAGCAATTCCCAAACTAGTGTGTGAACTAATGGAAAATTGAGGATAAGGAATTTAGGGTGATCTTGAAGATCTATTTTATTTGACAAGCTTCCCAACTTCCCTGTGATTGTTGTGTACCCTTATAATAGCATTTGATATGTATGCGTTAAACATATCTGATTATATATGTTACTCTTAGATGATTGCATATATGTTTTGGGTACTTCATATGTTGCGATACACTTTTAAAGGCTTTAAAGACCCAAATGATTTTATAGTATAGCCTGAGCTAGTGCGTCACCTTGGGCAATTATATATTTTCTTGTTGGGGACATCAGTTTTATATGTTATCGTGGTTATCACAATCTGACCTATTGCATATCATAATTATTCCCCCTAGAACCTAGTACGTGGTATAAAACCAAACATTTTCCATCTGTGTTTTATTTACAGTATGCAGTCTTTTTCCTATATCACCACCATAGCGTACCTTTGTTGGCATGTATATGTTGATTATAAACCTCCGTCTATTATTTAAATCATCATTAGAGCCCATGATAAGGGATCAATATATAATTAGGTACACTGACTGCAAATTTTATGAA